GGGCAGAAGGACCAGCCAAATTCACCCCTCACATCATCAGGCAGGGGCAGCTTCTTATGGAGCAGCTCAATCCCAGCTACATAGCAGCCAACCAGGCCCAGCGTACAAAGTCCTGGGGAAGGAAGCAGTAAAGCACAATGAGCTCACCGCTGAAGTGCTCTGGCTGTCACGATATGCATCTGGAGGAGGGAGGGTAAGTGGTGGATGGCAGACCTACCTGCTAGGAAATGAAGGACTCCAGTGGCAATGGCAGGGTAAAGGCTGCGGCAGGCACAAGCACAGAGCCCAATCAGAGCCCCAAAGCACATGAGGCCCAGGCTGACAAAGGGCAGAAGAAACTGCAATCGCCAGAGATCTGCAAGCAAAAAACCCCACATAAAACAAGTTTGTTGAAAATGTGCTAGAAACTGATCTTCTCCCACCACCTTGTATTTCCTTCTAACCACACTGCTTCTGCTTCATCAGACACTCTACATTCACAGCTAAAAAGGACCAAAGGGCCCGCTAAAGTAGGAAGAACTTATTTGTTAACTCCCACATTCCTGTACTGCATTCACGGGCAAAACCTTTGCTAAAGCTTAAGGAAAAAACTTAAGGCACTTAAGTTCCTATTTTAAACTTTGACATACTACAAAGAGCGGGGGGGGGGGGGGGGGGGGGGGGAGTTTGAGCAGAGCAAGGTACAGATGCTTCCCTCACTGGTGGCTGTATTTGAGAAGCGTGTTTTTTTCATCCTACTTGTTTACCAGTCAGACATGAAAGACACTTACAAGTTCGATTCAAATCTGTGCCGCTATTGTGATTTCCAGGCTCTATGTACTTTTCCATAAACTGATCAGAGAGAGAAAAACTGATGCAGTTTGTAGTCATATCGGTTTCTGTGGGAAAAAAAAAAAATTACCATTAGGTGTCTCCCTTCCAGCCCCCCACTTCAATTCCTCTTTTCCCAACCATTTAAGCTGGGAAGCTCCTCAGAGAAAAAACATTTCAGAGAAAAAAATTACCTCTCAAAACAGATCTGTAGGACGCCTTACCATAATGTAGTTAGCCTAACGTTACAATGAGGGACAGCATTGAAGCATGCAGAATCACCAAGCTCACCTGAGTTATCCACAGAGAACTGGGCCATGCTTGACAGACTGGGAAATGAATGTGGCATATGATGCTCAACTATGTTGTTACATATTCTTGTACTCAGAGTCACTTAACTGAGCTGTACTTATCTCCATGTGCAGAATGTAGTATCATACTAAACACTTCACTCAAAAATAGGATGGAAAGGACTAGTTAAAGAACAGAAAATATTTGCTTCTTTATACTAAATTTCTCTCCTTTTATGCCTCAGATTTTGCTTTGAGAATACTATTGAGCAGAGCTGGTTTAAGTGACTTCCAAAATAAATATCTTCATTAGAGAAACACACAAACAAAAGAGATTGCAAGTAATGTTTTTTTCTCCAGGAAAAATGTTTGAAAGTACATTTTTTTTTTTTAAGAGGGTTCAAAATGAAGGGCTTCATGCACACATGTGTCCAAAAACTACTTTGAAGCAATTAAAATAATTGCTTACCGCACTTTTTTAGCCCCCAAGTATTGTGAAAAAGAATACAAATATTTCATTCTATATCCATCATTATGGTACAAGGAGTCCACAACGTACAGATGCAACAGTGGGGCATTTGTGAGACATGAGCAAAACAAATGACTGGCTAAAAAGAGCAAGTGCCCCCTTTGATAAAGTTATTCTGTTGCTGGATCCCAGGACCTCTCCAAAAAAGACAGTGACTGGCAGGGCAACTATAACTGTATGCCCAACTGGACAGCCGATGCAAAAGAAAATCAAGTTATACCAGACTAAATTTAGACCAAATATCACGTCAAATCCAAAGTCTGCAGCACCGACAGCCACAGACCATTTGGCCTTTTGCTTCTTTAAAAATTTAGACTATCTTTATTAAAAACCCCCATATAAGCTAGAAACAGACCTTCTGGAGGAACAAAGTGGCATGAGTACGTTGTGAAGAAGTTAGCACATACCACCCAGGCAAGCTAGGGAAGTGTTAATTGCTCTGGAGATACCTGGTGGGCTGTACCAGTGAGAGTTTTTGGGTACAGTGATACACCTCCGCCACAATCCAACCGTGCCGTTGCACCGGAAAAGCGCATCTGTGTAGGTCTTCTCATCTGCCTCTTCGCTGACAAACTCTTCCCAGATGCTCCTACCAGCTTCACTAACATTCTCAGCTGGGGACAGGGTGTGGTATTCGTACCAAAAGTCAGTGCCAATGGAAGCTGCCATATAGATGGTGGAGATGAGGCTGAGAACGCAGGCAATTACTAGCGCTGTAGCAAAACGGTTATCCATCATTGCACCCTGGCTGCTGGAAGGAAAGAAAGGGCCAAGTGAGCAACTCCTCTGACAGTAAAGGCAAAGGTATCCTAGCAGTGTCAAACTCGTGACGTCATTCCTCTTATGCAATGTCCCCTCAAGATATACGTGTCTTCCTTTTCCAACGTGCTGGAATCAAAGGAACAACTGAACAAGTCTACAGTACTAGTCAGCGTATGCTGGATCTGCAAGTTCAAGGCATGGGTATTGCCCTTCTCCCAGCCGTGTTGGGCTGGCTGCTCTCTCCAAGACAGCAACCAACAGAGCAACAGGAACTCTGTCCCCAGAGCAGATGGCACAGCTCACTGCCATTTGTGATCCCGATTCTAGGGAACCACAGAGAATCCATCCACAACACCCAGGCAGAAGACTTATCTTTCCTTAAGAGATTACCAAGGGTAGAAGTTATTTTTAGCCTGCCATCCCATACGGCTTTCACAGCTTGTGTTTACAGCACAGATAAGAACCACAAGCATACCGGAAAAGCAGGGAAGCAGGGAAATCTATCTAGGCACTAAGAGACAGAACATGAAGGAAGCACCGAAAGACAAATTTGGAAATTATGATCAATGCTACAGTAATGCCACAATACATACAGTGGTGTTTCTGAAGAACTAAAACAATGCAAGGGGGGTGCCCTGTTCCATGGGATCAAGATGACAAGAGCTTCCAAAACTGGAAGGCCTTCATGCGCTGGCAGGAGGACTTTGCTCTGGCTCCCTGTATTAGGGGTCACTTACGCCCGCCTTTGCATGGTTGTGCTCACAAACCGTGTAAATTCAGGGTCAAAGGAGGCATGGCAAAATACAGATACCACATGCTTACACTTATAACAATACTGTGACTTTAATGAGTAATTGATTGCTAATACACAGAATGTTGTGCAGATAGTGCAACATGTCAGAGGACTGGCTCTCAGATAGCCTGTTGTGCTCATGCGCTTTCTGTGCTTGATTAAATTTATGGATTATGATCAATCAGGCTTGAGGCACTTGCCAAAAAAAAAGTTAACTCAGCAGCTAGAGCTAGTCTGGTTACATGAGCTACTATCTAATCAGCTCTTGTCTATTGCTTGTTCTACCTCCCTTCTCCCACATACTTTGATCAAAATATTTTGGTCTAGCTTCTTTGCAACTGAATGAACTGCAACTGGAAACAGCAAATGCCTTAAACCACAACAGTCACAAGGAAAAACATGAGCACTCAAGCCAGACGTGCCAATAAGAAATTCTGAACTATGAAGCAAAGAGAAAATTAAAGCAGGGAGTTCCAAAGGCACCGATATTTGCTGTTAATGATGTCATTCTTATTTCTTTTCCCTCCTATCTGCTCCTCTATTTGGCTGAAACTGGCTACAGGGCTGCGGAGGAGAGATGATGTGTACCCATATCATCCCCTATGCTTAATTTCCACGTTCAAGGAGGGCTATTACACAGAGCGTGCATCATTTAACTGCATCCTTAGCAACAAGAAAGAATAGAACTGATTTTTGGTGAACTGACAAGCAGCACCCATTTAAAATACTGCAAAGTTTGCATACTACAACTGTACTTAAATAATACTCCATAAGCTGTGAACTCTTCTAAACTAGGGCAAATACTGAGAGGCAGGAAACATTGTATCTGGGCTTATTTATCTAAAAGACATAGAATAAAGTCCAGACTTGAAAGCAAATATTCTGTGCAGCATTTAATTTTTGGTTATGCACTTATATTCTCCTTCGATACCCTAGCATCTAGCTCAAGGTGCACAGGACGCTGGATGAGCAGAATAGGGAAAGCGCAAGTTGATGTACACGGCCGACCTCACTATTCATCCCCACTGAGTTCACTGAGGGATACCCTCCCCTTCACAAGCTTCTCACAGAGCAAACAGGGCAAGTGGCACCTCTGGGGCCAAAGCCATGCTGCCCGACTCCTGCCCAGCTGAGCTCAGAGCTGAGCAGATCCTCTGGGAACTCCCTCTCAGGGCAAGCAGCAGAACAGGCTGGTGAGCAGGCTGGTCTGGATTTTCCACTGTACTACAGTCACACTCACTACAAGAGGAACCCTCTGCAACAGACTCGTCTCTTTAGAAAGTGCTCTCTCTGGAAGAAGGAATCACAAGAACCTACAAGCTCCATCCTCAGAGTAGAGTCTGGCAAAACAGAATGCAAGCAGGACATTATTAGGCCATCGGTTTGCTGTCATTACTTTTTAACATAAGCATTTGCAGTAACAAAGTCCTATCAACTTTGTACCTAATATACAGAAAGAAAAAAACTGGCTCAAAAAAAATCTTACTTCCAGATACAACATCCCTGCTGCCAGGTGCAGAACACTGGTGCCAGAAACATTAAAGCACAACCACACACTTCTGGCTAGCTTTCTGTGCACTGGCATACAGTGGACTTGGCAGAGCTGACGTCAGCTGGCAACCAAGAGCAGTTCACAAGCAAAATTAAGGGTTAAAAAACCAAACAGTAAATTAAAGCACTGTCCAATGCTCATTACCCATGTGGTAAAAGGGACATGGCTATCTATTGATGTTCAAACCTTGTAATACACAGCTCCTGTGACAGGTAGAAAGCAGCTGAGGTGGCTACAGTCCCCAAAATCTAGTGGGCAGCTTTGTGTGGCATTTGTCCCAGAAAGAACAGGCATGGATTTTCAGTATGGATGAGACTGTGCCAGGGCAAAAGCACACCCCCAATTACTTATAATAAAGGTCCCCTCAATGCTTCTGCCTAACATTTCAACTACTTACAGACCAGATGAAGAACTCCACAACACTTGAGGCAAATTTTAAACTAGAAGCTCTTCTTGCCACAGTGTAGTTGACTACTCTGCCCACTCACTGTGTATATCCAGTGCATCTTCATTTACAGTAGACACACCCACACTCAAACAAGGTTTCCTTTGCTCTGTTAAAAAGAGAGCCATCCTTCCAGCTCAATGGGAGTAGTAAGCCTAATGAGTAAGAAGTAGTTACCACAGAAGTCCATGAAGAAAGACACCGCACGTTTATGACATTATGCCACACTTTGCAAAAGGTTCTATGCAGAACAGCATGCAGGAGGTGCCTTAGAACAAGCTTACTTACAAAAAATAACATTACTACTACCAAAAATGACATTAATTATAAAGACATGACTGACAATAAGTGGAAATACTTTGCTTTTATAGGCTGTCAGCAAGAACCTTCATTGTTTTTACAAAAGGTTTGTCCATATGGCTCTGCCAGCACATTTTATTCTAACAGCAGAAGCCATTTCAAACAAGTTATGGCTGAAACTAAGCTGTGCAATGAATATAAGACAACACAAGGCAGCAGTAAACAGGCACTCAAGCAGAAGTGCTTCACAGGATATTATACTCATCTTTGAAAGAAGTAAGACATGTAAAAATTTCAAAGCACCAGCTCATAAAAGAGAAGACAAAGGCCAAACTAGCAGCAACATTCAAAGGAATGACTAGAGGCATGCACTTCACAGAAGGGGGGGGGGCGGGGGGGGGGAGGGCAAGGCAGTGGGGCTGAAAAAGAAAAACACAGAACAGCACAAAAGCAAGTATTCTGGCAAAAAATCAACTCTAAGACTGGAGAACAGATAAGCATTTTAGGAAGTTAATATATCACGGCAGAGGGGAATATAGAAATATGCATATTTTAGGATAAAAAAACAGGATAGTTACAGAAAGCACTCCCTTCAGCCAACAGTGGGCCACCACATTTAAGAAACTCCTTTCACCTGACATCACAAAAGAGTAAGGCTGCATTTGCTGGCATTTTCTCAGAAAACGTGCTTGCAATCTAACTGCTCTTTGGGAAAGCAGAATAGGCAGAAGGCCTAAAAGATGTAAATGTGGGGAGAGGGCTGGCAACACTACTGAACAGGATCCTCCTTTTAATACTAAGGGCAATGAAGGGTTAGGAAAAGAACGCTACCGAACAATTTTTTACCTTCAGAGGTCCTCAGAGTCCCTCAGGACACAGAGCTCCAATGATTCCAGGTCACTTCAGAGACTCAGCGTCACTTGTGTCTTGTGGTAAGCAGAGAGCCTGAAATGCAAACTTCCTATGCACCCTAACTGTTCCATTCATTCAGCTTCTTCAACACCACCGGTTCACAAAAAGTGATCTAGAAGCAGAAAACAAACCACATGGCTTGAGATCATAATTTCACTTTGAAATTATTTAACAGAGATCGCCCGAGTTACTCATTAAAAAAAAAATATTGGGGGGGG